AAACTACCAGCTGCTCCGCGGGAGAAAGATGAGGCTTTCTACTCCCGTAAAGATTTACACCCTCGGAAACCCTGTACAGGGTCGCTATGAGTCGGTTCCGACTCCATGGCACATAACAACAACAACAAATTTTGTTTAAAAAAAAAAACCTAAAGTGAATAGAGAGAAATACTGTTAACTGATGGTACATGGAGGGGATTATAATCATTGTATGAAACAAGGGGTATGATTTGTTGAATGTAAAACTGATGATCTGCCCTGTAAACTTTCACTCAATCCACAATAAAAACCTTAAATTAAAAAAAAAAGCTAAGGTCATGGAAGTCAAGAAGACATTGAGGAGTTGCTCCAGATTAGAAGAAACTAAAGCGGCACCACAGTGAAATGCAACTGTAACGTAATACGTGATCCAGCATTTCCACTTTCTGTAAAAGACGTTAAAACAATTGGTGAAATATGAATCAGGTCTGTAAGCTATTATCATTGATGCTAATGTCCTGATTTTGATCACTGTACTGCGCTAATGAAAGAAAATAGCTTTGTTATTAGGAGACACACACTGAAGTAGCTAGGGGTAAAAGGTCAATTATGTCTGTACTTAACAAAAATGGAGGCTACAAAGAGAGGGGGCAATACAGAAAACATAGAACTTCAGTAAAGTGTTGTGGTGCAGTGAATTCTTTTGTATGGTTCTTCAAACCATGCATAGTTCTGTGACTACCACAAAATGATTGAGTGGAATATTTAAGGGGCTCAGATAGCATCCTAATAACACAAACAAGGGGGATTGGTCAGTTTTGCCATTCTGCTAGGCTTAAAAGAGAGCCAATTTCAGAGAAGAGTGGGTATCTCATTACCACCACAGAATAAGAAGCAGAGCTAAGAGTGGTGAACATCCTTTGCAGCCAGGGTCCCTGCACTGAAACAGAGAATTATAACACCAAAGACAGCAAGAAGTAGCTATAAGCAGAAGCGAGTGGCAGAGAAACAATGACGGCAGAACCAAGAAACTGACTCAGATGGTGAGGCAGCTACAGTAGTCAGACCAGCCCATGGAGCGAGAGAGCTGAGCTCCTTCAGGCAAGAAAACTGCTGGCAGAGTGGGGTGCCGGTGGGGGCATTATCAGTAGAACTAAAGAGCTTTGTAACACTTGCCCAAGCAGGGTCAAGAGCTGAGGGCCACAGGGAGGCTGTTCTGAGGGGGCTGAGATGAGCCTGTTCTCAGAAGACAGAGAGAAACCCTTCCTGGCTGAGAGGAGCTGAGAGGGCTGCCCTGCACTGAAGAAAGGAAACTTTGCCTACATGCTTCCTGACCCTGATCCACAGTTGTAGTCTGGGCATCCTTAGCCCAAGTTGTAACCTGCTATTTCCCTAATAAACCCCCTACCTGTGAGAATGGTCTGTGAGTTCTGTGTGGCCCCTGCAACTAATTCTCAAACCCAGAGGAGAAGTCGGGAGTGCTGTGAGAGGAACCACTGGTGTCAGAATTGGTGAAAAGGTTGTAGAGAAGAGGTCTGTCTGTCTGACCTCCACCACACAGGAATCAGCCTTGGGCTGACGGTGACCACGATTCCCTTGTGAAGTTAGACAAGGATGTCTGACAACAAGTCGCCAGTTTTACAAATATATAGAGAAGTTCTGGTAGCATCGTGGTTACGAATCAGGCTGCAAACCTCAAGGTCAGCAGTTCAAAACTACCAGCTGTTCCGCAGGAGAAAGATGAGGCTTTCTGCTCCCATAAAGATTTACAGCCTCGGAAACCCTGTGCAGGGTCGCTATGAGTCGGAACCAACTCCACGGCACATAACAACAACACCATAGACAAGTTATTTGTATTATTCCTGCAACTTTTCTTTAATTTTAAAATCATGTCAAAATAAATTAAAAGTTTAAAAGAAGAAAATTAACCCAAAAGGCAGGTATACCACAGACAAGCTGCCTCAAAAATTACTTAAGGCATTTTATAAATCACATTTCCAAGTTGCGCTCATTTCAGCTTGTTCTTTGTACATCACTTCTGTCACCTGCAACCATTCACCAGCCACAACAAACACACACCCATGGACTCCACTTGGCTCCTCCCCACCCACTTCCTGACGGAGCTGCCAGGAAATTGAGGTGAGGCGGAGCCCGTGCCCTCGTACCAGCCCTGACCAAACACATTACCTGTGGAAAACCCGAACAAGAAAACTAGGTAGACAAACATGAAACGGCACAGGTCTCTCAGGATCATCTGCAGGAGAGAGGAGCTCTGTCAGAGTCACATCAGACCCAAAGAGCCCAGGCAGGAGGAAATGAGTGGCAGGTCAGAACTCCAGTAGCCTGACGGTTCATCTTGAACCCAAATGGAATTGGAGAACATGCTGGATGTTTTGTTGAGGTGTTTTTAAGCTCAGGTGTCACACCGCTCCCTCCCCCTTACGTCTTCAGTTCTAGGAGGGTCTGGTACACAGAGGCCTCAAGTTTCAGGTGAGTCTCCACACCTGGTCTCAGACTAGATTGCCTGAGAATGGCACCTCCACAGATATAATACAGAGAGTTGGGAGCTCACACATTCAGTCTCAACAAGGTTCTCTGAGGGTCTCACCTACCTTCTCGATCATAACAGCATAGATGCCCATCTGCTGGAAGCCACGGGTGTAGTAGAGCATGTTGGTCCAGCCCATGGCCAAGGAAAACACCATGGAGGCCACGTACTCCTTGCGCTGGCTGAAGTACAGCACCACGGTCCCTAGCATGAACACAGACTGTAGAAAGCTGAGGGTGGAGGGACAAGAAACACTGTCAGAGGGCATCCGGGAAGCCCACTGGCCCCACAAACACAGAGACTTCAGACCACCTAGGTCATCCTTCAGAGTCACAGACTCAAGCCACGCTGGAGCTCAGATTGGTCTACCCTATAGCCAGAGCTTACTCAGTACGGGCAATATCATTCCCAAAAGGGCCAACATTGGTCTGGGCTGTAAAACGACTCGCTCTTAATTTGTACAAAGCACAGAGGCAAACAAAGAACATAAACAGATATACAGTATATTTGTGCTATTAAAATTCCAAAGGGGGTTTAGACAGAAAATGTCTACAAAGGTTCCTTAGGAGAAGGGACAATGAAAAGGGGGTTGAGAAATGCTGTTTTAGCCCCAACAGCCTCTCTGTCCAGACCCCAAAAACAATGGCATCACTGGGCAACAGATAACTAGGAGCCCTGGGCCCATGAGGCAGGGCAGGTCATTCTCTCCTGAACAAGTCACAACGTGGGTCTGCTGGTCCTGTGCTCAAACTCAGAAGCAGACCCCTGAGGCCCACCCAGGTAGGAGCACTGGAGCAAGAGGAGGGCATGGCCCTATGATCGGTCGGCTCAACAATCCCTCCTCTACTTGCTCATCCCAGGTCTCCTTGTTCAGTGTGGCCTCCTACCAAGTCTCCCCCTTGAGCATACCCCTTGAATTTGCCCTCTGAAGCTAAAATGTAGGCATCTGAAGACTGGGAAGAAAGGATGAGGCTTGTGATCTCTAGGGACAAGTTAACTGCAATCGGATCAAAAAATCAATTCCTTACACTTGCCAGGAATGAAGAGAGGCTCCGGGGATGAAGGAAGGAGCAGGCCCATCCTATTTGAAAGCCTCCTTTGCATGTTGGCCTCAGAGGCTCCGGGCTTATGTTATGTAGGAAGGCATTGCCCCATAACATCCACATTGTCTGTACTTATCTGTCTCCTCCTGAAGCAGTGGTTATCAATCCAGGGTAGTGCTCCAGGGAGGTATCTGGTTGTCAGGGCTGGGAGACCGAGTGGTGAGTACTACTGGTGTCTAGTGGGTAGAGGCCAGAGATGGTAGAGGCCAGAAAAACGTATCTGCCTTGAGTATTAAACATCCTACAGTCTCCCACAACAAAGGGTTGTTGTTGTTGTTAAGTGTCATCAAGTCGATTCTGACTCATAGCAGCCCTGTACAGGGTTTCTGAGGAGCAGTTGGTGGGTTTGAACTGCTGACCTTGTGGTTCTCAGTCCAGTGCTGATCCTACAATGCCATACCTGGAGTCCCAAGAAAGAGTTATCTGGTCCAAAATGTCAATAGTGCCCCTGGGATATGATCGTCAGGTCTGGCAGTCCCCAGTACCTGGTTTAGAGTGGGCACCCATACTCATTCATCCAACAAATGTTTACTACAACAGAGGAAAAAGGAAATTCCTGAATAGGAGGAGGATATGAAATGTGTGGCTAATTGCCTCCATGAGCAGCTGCCTCTTTTGCCCTGAGACCAGAAGAACTAGATGGTGCCCAACTACCATTACCATTTGGATCAACGAACCCATAGAAGATTCCTGATCAAAAGGGAAAAAACACAGAACAGCATTTCAAATTCTCACAGACTCCAGACATCCTGGATTCATGAAGGTTCGATGAACTACAATTTTGCCCTGAGATCATCTTTAACCTTAAACCAAAATCATCCCCTAAAGTCTTCTTAGCACCAAACAATAGTTTAGCCTGACTAGTGAAAGAATATCTGCCTTGAGTATTATGCTCTTTTAAGAACTAGCGTTGTTTGTTGTTAAGTGCTATCAGGTAGGTTCCAACTTATAGCAACCCCGTATAGGGCTTCCAAGGCTGCAAATCTTTGCGGAAGCAGAAAGCCTCATCTTTCTCCCATGGTGAGAACTATGACAATAGTAACTCAAAAGATGAGATAGGAACCTTAGAGGGTAATGAATCTATGTTAGTGGGAGAGGAGCCACTCAGAAAAGGAGGATGAGAAAGATTGCACAATTCAAAGAATGCAATCAATGTTACTGAAGAGTACATGGAGAAATTATTAAATTGCTGCAGGTTTTGCTGTGCATATTCTCAACAACACCAAAAATAAATAAAACTATGTGTGTGTTTTCTAATAAGTAAAAGAAAAGGAAAAAACAGTTTACTGAGTGCTTCCCATCATTCATTCCACATGCTCACTGAGGGCCTGACTGTTTTTGTCACCCCAGGACTGGACCGAAAGATGCTGGCTGCTGCAGAGTCGTGAGAGTCCAAGTGCCACTTACAAAAGTATCTCGCTGTAGCTGTCCACAAACAAGATCTTCAGCGAAGGTCTCCTGCGCAGGAAATACTGAATCTGCAGATAAACAGAGATGGCACAGTCCCAGGAAACGGTCCATGTGGCTAAGTGGTGAGTGCTGGGAATGCTTCCTCGTGACCCCATATTGGGACAAGCGGTGTGTGGAGGTGTTGGGGGTGCATTATTAAGCAATGATTATTAAGAGAGAACAAGTACGGGTCAGGGTAATGGGATAATGTGACATGAGATAATGTGATGTCAGAAGAGATTTTAAAAACAGAAAAAAATAGTGGAATTTCAACTACATCCAGCAGCAGACACAGGAAAGAAAATCATTAAAATGTTATCAATTGCTACATTTGAATGATGGGAATTCGGCATTGTTTTCTTATTTACATGTCTTCCCCCTGCCCCTAATGTTCCTTAAGAAATATGCATTACAATAAAAAATGCTTTTAACCAGCCTCTACTAAATGTATCAGCTGCTTTCCAGTCAATTCTAACTCATGGAGACCTCATACGTTTCAGCGTAGGATTGGTCCATAGGGTTTTTGGTAGCAGATTGCCAGGTCTTTCTTCAGAGGCACCTCTGGGTCAAACCACCCATCTTTTGGTTAGTAGTAGAGCACTTAATCATTTGCATCGCTCAGGGACCCACCAGATTAACCAACATTTGACACTCCCTGGAAACATTCTGACTGGCTCACAGAACACTGACAGCCAGGAGTTCCTCACCCTGACTCCCACACGCTCCTGCTGCCTCCCATTAGTTCATCCCACCTTTGCCAAGAACACTTTGCTGTCAGCCACATTTGCTGCTGAAATTCCATAATTTATTGCTATAATGTAAGCTATAAGTATGAAAAGAAGATCGTTGGTTCTGTAAAAACATAGTTCCATCAAAGACTCAATAAAAGTGAGTCACTAAAAACAGTAACTGGGCATCGTTTCAACTAAAAAGATTGATGGTGGTGGTTATGTGCCATGGAGTCGGTTCCAACTCATAGAGACCCTGCATAGGGTTTCTGAGGCTGTAAATCTTTACGGGAGCAGAAAGCCTCATCTTTCTCCCACGGAACCACTGGTAGTTTCGAACTGCTGACCTTGAAGTTAGCAGACTGACTCATAACCACTACGCTACCAAAGCTCCTTAAAAAGATTGGGAGGTTTAAAAAAAATCACGCCAATCTCCAATTCTGCATTCAGATTTCTTCATATGTGTCTAAATTCTTGCTTTTCTTTAAAGAAGCTGAAACAAGATATCCTAATGATGCATTATAGGTGTGACTTTTACAAGAAAGATGATGAGAAACTACAGTGGCCCCACACTCGAAGAAAAGACAGCTTATACATTAGAAGAAAGGCTGAGGAATATGCACATACGTGAGTTTTTAGTTAAAATAAAATGCTCCAATATGCATGCAGATTTCTTTCATTGTTATAACAGTTAGAGGACTGTTTGGATAAATAAATAGATTTCCACTCAACTTCTAGAATTAAATTTTACATTCCATGGAGACCCCATCTCCAAAGTCTAGGCTACCTTATCTCAGAGAGACTGTCTGTGGGGAACCACTGGACAGCCCCACCCCAGTTCTAAAAGGCAGATGGGCTCTCAACTTAATGGTATGCCTCTCAGCTCCTCATCTGGTGTCTGATGAAGAAAAATGCAAGTGAGCAATGAGCAATGCTCCTGGCTTTGAGTTTTGGTGATCAGGGAGTGGAAAGGAATGCTTACCCCTCGGAAAAAAAAGTAGACTCCCCCTGATACAGACAGAATCTCTCCAGTGACTCGGAAATAATCCTGGGTGCTGTTCATCTGAAAGGGAGGCTGCAAGATACAGAGAAGTTGGTGACTCCGTTCACTCATTCATTCCTTAGATAAACATTTACCAGGTGCCAAGCCCTGTGATTAAGAGCCCAGCCCCTACCCCAGAGGCTCAGCCTCTATTGGGAGAAAAAGACACATGGGTCAAGATAATGTGTTGTGAGGACACCTGGAAGGGGCCACCCTGTCAGGCCTGATTGCTCCAGGGGCCTGAAGGAGCACCCTTCCAATGCTGCTTCCCTGATCTCTACATGGCTGCAAGGAGAGGACAACTGGAGGCACTTTACAGACCCATGAGAATCCTACTGCTCCCATAGCCCATAGCAAACAGGACTGTCCAGGCTTCCAATCCATGACACAAGGGCCACGTTCTTGTGTTTTCAGCCACTATTTTCTGAAGTGGAATTTTTTTGCCAGTTTAGCATACACATGGGGTCGCTATGAGTCAGAATTGACTCAACAACAGGCAGTTCATTAGACTGGCTTATTAGAATATCACTCTTTTTATCTTGAAACAAAACCAATAAATAGCTTTAGTTGTTGTTGTTGTGAAATGCCGTCGAGTCAATTACGACCCATAGCAATCCTGTATAGGGTTTCCAAGGAGCAGCTGGTGAGCTTGAACCACTGAACTTGCAGTTCAAACGAGTTTTCAGTCTGATGCATTAGATCAGAAATCGGGTCTCACCTAATCATGAAATTGAGTTTTCGAACCAAACTGATCAGCAAAATACTCTGGAAATAAAGGCAGTAAGTGAAATGCCCTGGGTACTGAGTGGAAAGGACGTGGTTTGGTATTGGATGGAACTCAAGTTTCTGATTAGGAAGAAGTCTGGTCTCCAGTGGTAAATCCAGCTCAGGATGGTCCAGGACCTGGCCCAGATGCATATGTCCAGGCAATGAGGAATGAGTGATAGAGTAAATAAGGGGACTGAAGAGAGCAGCTGAGTAAGATAGCAAAGGGATCATGGCTTCTACTATCTCTGGCCCTGTGGGTACCCAGTCCCCGGGTCCTAGATCCTCCATCTTTCTACCCTAATGCTCTCTAGGTGCTGCTGGTTTGGCCCTGTCAAGTCACCAGACTAGATGAGAGGGACTGAGAACAGGCAAGGGGAAGGTCACCAGGAGAACCTGAGAGAGGAGAAGCCATGCACAGGGATATAAGGACCTCTGGGTGGTCCTTGAATCCCTCCAGCAACACTGGCCAGGGCAGAACCTGTGTCTCAGGAATATCCATGCCCCTCCCTCCCGCTTCCAAGGCATGTGCCTCAGGCCGCACCAAGCCATCCACAGGCCTGTGGTAGGCAGCCGTGGTGAAGACAATCATATACAGAAAGTAGACGAAGAAGTTGAAGTAGAAGATACACTTGACAAATCTGTCCCACTTGTCCTGCAGGAGTCGGTTCAGCGGCTCCACCAAAAGCATGTCATGGCGATTCTAAGGGGAGAAAACAGAGGTGAGGTTCACTAGCCCCACCAGGAACCACCTTCCATGGCCTCATCAGCCAGTGGCCAGCGGGTCTCTGCACACTGACTTCTTCCATACACACCCAAGCACAACTTCGGCCTGTGGAGCAGTTGCAGGTCACAGTGACCAGACCTGGTGGGCAGTAGTGTCTAGGGGCTGGGCACAGTTTTGCCATGACTCCATGCAGGACCCAGCCCTCCAGCTTCAGTTCCCCATGAGGGGTTAAATTGGAGGAGCTCTACATGCCCTCTGATTTTTAAACGCTGCCCAACATTTGGTGCCCATTATCTCTACTAACTCATTCCTGAGAGCCTACATCCTTATTATTCCCACAATATGAAAGGCTGGCGCCAGAAGAGCCTAACAAAATTCCCTTTGGGGAGGGGCTAAGGGCACGCCTCCGGTTTCCTTGTTTCTCTGTTTTCCAGCCCTGGGTTAGGCAAGCTATCAAGGCAAGAGTGGCAATTCTGTATGCATAAGGTAAAGAGAACTAGGAAGCCTTTCTGCAGGGGATGGGATTTCATGTCTGCTTTGGGGCAAAAGTTGAATATGCAGGAGATCTTTGTAAACGTTCTAGTCCCCAGTAAGCTGAAATTAGATAACTCCAGCCCAGGTTTCAGATCCCCCCCAACAAGTTCCTCTTCCGTGTCTTCCTGAATATATTTGAGTATAGGAAGTTCCTTGCTATTTCAAGAAGCCTGTTAAAAGACACTAAATGTGGGTACAGTTATTCTTTGGAATAAAATTGGTCTTTTTCACTTCCTACCAGTGGTTCTGGATCTGTCCTCTAGGGCCCCAGAACAAATCTGCTCTCCTAGCCTTAAGAGCCTTCAGAATACTAAGATGACTTCATATAATCAGAGAGGAACTATATAAAAAAGGAGGATTTGAATGATTGTACAACTCTCAGAACGAGATCAGTGTCACTAAACTACGTGTAGAAATTTACATTGGTGGATGCTTTTCTGTGTATGTTTGCAACAGCAACAACAAAATAAATAAAATTAAGGCAGAAGAAAACACTTAATATTACTAAAATGTCAATTATTTCAAATTTGACCTACAGATTGAGTGAGTTGTTTAGTGGAATCCCTTATATTTTTACCTCAATAATTTTTTTTAAAATGGTTATGTGGCAGTCCTTCAGTCTCTGAGATAACATCTCAGACTCCAGCTCCCAAGTATCCCTAAGTAGCTGGGAGTATCTCCTTGCAAAGAGGGAAAAGAGCCGGTGCCCTTCCAAATCAGTGGTGAAAGTACAGACTACTCAGAGACTGGTACTGGAATATTCATTTGGAAATAAGGGACTACTTTAGATGCCTAACTCACACGCACACAAAAATAAATTCTAGATAAGTTAAAGAGTAAAACATAAAATACCTATTACAAAGTTCAAAGAAACTATTGAAGGATGTATGTGACATATTACAGTGAAAATGGCCTTCCTAAGCAAGACACAAGGCATAGAATCTGTAAACAAGGAGCTCTGGTAGCGTAGTGGTTACGAATCGGGCTGTGAACCTTAAGGTCAGCAGTTCGAAACTACCAGCCGCTCCGCGGGAGAAAGATGAGGCTTTCTACTCCCGTAAAGATTTACACCCTCGGAAACCCTGTATAGGGTCGCTATGGGTCGGAACCGACTCAATGGCACATAACAACAACAACAACAAGCAAGACACAAGGCATAGAATCTGTAAACAATGAGAATGACCAACTTGACTCTGTCATAATGAAAGCAAATGAAGCCATCAACAAAATTCAAAGACAGGAGGCAGATGGGAGAAATAAAATATTTGCAGTGTATACAATAGATAAGGGATAAAGTCATTATAGACAGAGAGCATCTATAAACCAAAAAAGGATGAGATGCACAATCTCTTAGAAATCAAGAAAATGAAGATTAAGGTATCAGTGAGATGGCATGTTTGGCTCCTTGGATGTACAACACTTTGAATAAAAACCAAGGGAGAGAGGGAAGAGGGAAAGAAAGGCAGATAACACCCAGGTTGTCAAGGATAGACGTGTACCACTGGTGGTACACATGTGTGTGTACAATGCACACACATTCTGAAGAACAATTTGATGATGACAATTAAAATGTACATACTTTTTGACTTAGCAATTTGAATTCTAGGCATCATAGAAAAATACTCAAACATGCTAAGTGGCCTACAGCACTGAAGTAGCAAAAAAACTAGACATAACTTGAATGTCCTTCTGTAGCATTTCCTAGTCCTTCTATGGAATACTACGCGGCATTTTTTTCTTTTTCTTTTTAGTGAGGCAAACCCATGGGTACAGAAACAAAACTATCTACAAGATATGTCATTAAGAGAAAAAAACTGATTGTTTTCACTGTGCATTAGTATGATCTCATTTATGGAAATGTAATGAAACTATACATTTTTTTAATACGGTACAAAAGAGTGTTCTTTTTTGTCTGTGTTCTACTGAACTATATCAATTTTTATGAGACTATAATCACATATATTGTTTGGATGATTACGGAAAACACTCAGGAGAAGGAACAGAGCAATGATACTCCAGGCTGAGGCCTGGAGAAGTGGGTTTTAGTGGATGAGAAGCAAAGGCCGAGCTGGACGAGGGGCTGGGAACAGTTGGTGGGTGACAGGGTGCACTCACAGGGGTCTCACTGCTGCTGTAGGCGATCACCTCCAGCACTGAGTTCTTCTCACAAGTGTCGATGCAGGACAGGTCGTAGAGCGAGGAGTGCACAGGTCCATAGGCCCACTCGGTGAACTTCCTCGACAGGTGTCTACACTCGGGCTCCTGGATCTCCCTCTGGAGAATATAGGCCAACACCTGCCACCAGAATCAAGAGCCCATTAGCCACCAGGCCACCAGCCCTGCTTCCAGAATAACTCTACTTCCAAGCCCAGTCAGAGACCCCATCCAGGAGAGATATTAACCCTCATGCAGCTGCCTCCCGACCATCATCAATATCAACCTGCCCACTGCCTCAGACCCCAACGGCAGACACTGATACCCATCACCTAGTCACATTGGGATCTCCTCAACTCCACCATGTCACAGTGCACGGCCATTCTAGAAAACCTCAAGAACTAGAAGGACATCAACAAAGTCAATCTAAGAACTGAAATCAAGCTCATAACTCCAGGTTCAGTGGTAGAATCCTGTAGTGGTTACAAGTCGGGCTGCTAACCTCAAGGTCAGCAGTCGAAACAACCAGCTGTTCCATGGGAGAAAGATGAGGCTTTCTGCTCATGTAAAGATTTACAGCCTTGGAAACCCTATATATAGGGTCGCTATGAGTCGGAACCGACTGCACGGCACCTAACTACTTTATAGGTTAAGGGTTCCTGGTGTGGTGCTACAGGACCAGCACTGGACTGCGAACCACAAAGTCAACAGTTCAAACCTACCAGCTGCTCCTTGGAAACCCTATATAGGGTCAATATGAATTGGAATTGACTGGACAGCACTTAACAACAACAAAAATGTAGGATAAGCACTGAACTGCTAACCGCAAGGTTGGCAGTTCAAACCCTCCAGTCGCTCCTCAGAAACCCTGCACAGAATTACTATGAGTCACAACTGACTCCACAGCACTTAGCAACCATAACAATGCAAAAGGCCCCGGTTCGATTCCTGGCCAGTGCTTCTCATAAACAACCACCATTCATCTATGGTTTGCAAGTGAAGATTTGCGAGTTGCTATGATGTCGAGCAGGTTTCAGCAGAACTTCCAGACTAAGGTGGACTCGAAGGAAAGGACTAACAATTTACTTCTGAAACCAGCTAACAAAAACCCCATGGATCACAGTGGTCGCATCTGCAACCAATCACGGGGATGATGCGGAACCAGGCAATATTTTGTTCTCCTGTGCGTGGGGTTGGCATGACTTGGGAGCCACTCAACAGCAACCAACAGCAACTTCATCCTAAGATTAGGCTCAGTATGAGCAAGAAAGAACTTCCAGATGCCCTGATAGTAAGACGCCCCCTCCCCAATTAACTCCCAACAGCCCAACCCTACCATCCACTTTCCATGAGCTGACATCATCCACAGACTCACTACCCCAAACTCTCCTTGCATCACCTAAAAAGTGTTTTCTCCTGTCCTGGAAAAAACATCACAGCTCCCTTTTCTATGTCACTCTGTCCCTACCCTCAAGCCCCAATATCCCCTCCCCGACCTGTGCCATATCTGTGATGCTCAGAGCTGAGTTCAGACACTCCGTTCTTTCAGCTCTTCCCAGTGTCTCTGACTTATTTGACTGGCCCCTGTCCCAACCCTCCAAGCTGGAGTTAATACAAACAGCTTCATAGAGTGGGGCACAGGCACAGCAGTGAGGCAGGCAGGCCTTTCCCACACACCCCATCCCTGCTGAGAGCCCCACCCCAATCTTCCCGCTGCCAGCAGCCAGAGCCAGGGGCGTCAGCCCCTTCTTGTTGATGAGTTCCTCCAGCTTCAGCGTTGGGTGGTGCTTGGCCCCCAGGATGAGAATCTCGTTGTACATGCTCGTCACAAACTTGGTGTTATCAGTCGTGTTGTCGGCCACCTCCACTAGGGCATGCAGCACTGTGTTGCCCACCGAGTCCCGAGCACAGATGTCTGCCGGCTGCCAGGAGTTCTGTAGCAGGAACTTCACAATGCCCAGCTGGTTGGTACATGCAGCCAGAGAGAGTGGCAGCTCACCTGCAGCCAATACAAGGCACAGAGCTGGACACACGGCCAGAGTTCCTTGGGAATTGGGCTGGGCTCTCCCTGAACTAAGAGGCTGCCAACTCCCGTATCCACCCTAGTTTTCCCTTAGCCAATAACCAGTTACTATGGATTCATTTCTGACTCCAGGCAACCCCAAGCATGTCAGAGTAGAACCGTGCTCCACAGAGTTTTCAGTGGCTGACTTCAGAAGTAGATTGTCAGGTTTTTCTTCTGAGGCACTTCTGGGTGGACATGAACCTCCGATCTTTTAGTTAGCCATTCATATTAACCCTTTACACCACCCAGGGACTCCGGTCTCCCCTTAACAACTGTTTAAAAGCCACATGGTCTCCCTACCAAAGTAGAAGCCAGGCCGCCCTTTGATTTTCTTAAAGAAGTCCCCATTGGCTGCCGCCTGGACGTCTGCCCCATTCTCCACCAGGAGGGTCACCAGGGCCATGTTCCGCCTCTCGATGGCAATGTGAAGTGCTGTCTGGCCTGTGAGTATGAGTTGGCTTTGTGACCATACTTCTGTGGGAGTGTCCAGACAGGTGCTGGGGAAGGGCCCAGGGCAGGCAGCAGCTACTGCAGGGGAACTCAGCAGCATTTCAAGTCTCCAGTGAAGGACAATAGTCCGGCATCCCCTAAGGGAGCCAGGAGAGTCACCAAGGCAAACGTAGAGACTGGTATTTCAGTCAAGGAAAGAGGCAGTGACCTCCAGAGACAGAAAATGCCAACTGGGGAGGGACAAGGCAAGGACCTCCCAGGACAGATGGGAGAGGGAGGCAAGGACACTTACAACTGAGATGCCAAGTGAGCATGTTGCAGAGACAGGGACCCCCAGGACTAAGAGACCCAGGGTCAGCAGCAGGGAGTAAGGCGTTCAGAGGCTAGTTGCAGGTGTGTTGGGGCAGAACCATGCCCACCTCCTCACCCTTGTAGTAGCTGTCGGTGTAGCTGGCGTTGACCAGTTCCTTCAAGCTGTTGGTCTGCCGTGCAATCTCCAGGAGCAGGGGGATGGTGTCGTTATGTCCGTCATGTAGGTTGAGCATGGCTTTCAGCAGACACGTCTTCCCCGTCTCAGGGTCTGTGACAAATGAGAGTCAGAGCATGCGCGGTGGCGGGGGCCCTCCCAGGAACCGTCCCTTAGCGAACGGGCCCCACCTTTGAATTCGCTGTGCATGAGGTGCTTCTTGCTCTTCTTCAGGAAAAGCAGCAGGCTCGACAGTTCCTCACAGTTATTCTGAGCGACGGCTTCAAAGATCCTCCTGCGATCGTACAGGATCTTCTCGACCCCGTCAGTGACAGAGTCCTGGGAAAGCTGCCTATAGGCAGGCGGGGAAACACTCTGGTCCCAAGTCCTTACTTAGCCTCCCTCTGCCGAGAGGCCTGTAGAGGTTGGCAAGGGAACACAGATAAACTCAGAGGCAATCCAAAAGTGGGGAAACATGACATGAAGGCAAAACGGGGGTCCGGTGGAGGAGAGGTGAATAGAGAGAACAGGGTATGTTCAGGGCAGTAAAGCTAATCTGTATGAAACTGCCATGGTACATAGGGCATTAGTATAATTCAAACCCATAGGATTGCACAATGCAGAGTGAACCCCAATGTGAACTGCACCCACTGTACCCTATAGGGCAGAGTAGAACTACTCCATAGGGCTTCCGAGGCCGTAAATATCTCTCTCTCTCTCTCTCTCTCTCTCTCTCTTTTATAACCTTTTATTGCAGTTTAAGTGGGAGTTTACAAATCAAATTAGCTTTCCATTCAACAGTGTATACACACTTTGTTTCATGATATTGGCTACAATCCCCTCAAAGTATTAGCACCTTTCCCACTTCCTCCCTGGTTCCCCATTTCCATTTGTCCTCCTTTCCTGCCCCTTCCTGCCGTCTGAGTTTTGTTCTGGGACAAATGCCACCCTTGTGAACTTGTATGGTTGATGTTGTATGTTACTCCTTGGTGTTGAACTTTGGGGTGGATTCAGTTCCAGGCCTGAAGGGTGTCTGAAGGCCACAGTCTCAGGGGTTCCACCCATCTCTATTAGACCAGTAAGTCTTGTTTTTTGCCTGATTTCACATTTTGTTCTACATTTTTTTGTTCTCCTTCTGTCTAGGACCTTCTACTGTGATCCTGATGAGAGTGGTCAATAGTGGTAACTGGGCACCATCTAGTTCTTCTGATCTCTGGGAAGTGGAGGCTATGGTTTGTGCAGCCCACGAATCTTTGGACTCATTGTTTCCTTGAGTGTTTGATTTCCTTTGCTCTTCTTTGTTCCAGACAGGGAGAGACCCATAGTTCATCTTAGATGGCTATTTGCAAGGTTTTAAGGCCCTGGTCATTAGTCACCAAAGTAAGATGTAGGACATTGTCTTTGTGGACTATGTTATACCAATTGACCTAGATGTCCCCCCAAGACTGTGGCTCTGAGTCTCCAAACCCAGAGACTATCAATCTTTAAGGAAGTAGACTGCCCACAGAGTGACTGGTGGGTTTGAACTGGATGCTTAGGATCAATTGCCACTGTGCAACCAGAGCTCCTCAATATGAACTGTAACCCACATCATAGGGTTGATTCTGACTCCCGTTGACCTTAGGTAGAGTTTCTGAAGCTGTAAATCTTCATAGGAACAGAAAACCTCCTCTTTCTCCCATGGAACTGCTGACATTTGGTTAGCAGCCCAACTTGTCCCCACTACATTACCAGGATTCCTAATATGAACTATACTATTGTTGTTAAGTGCCACCAAGTCTATTCTAACTCATAATGACCCTACATAGGGTGTCTGAGGATCTGGTGGTGGTTTTGAATGGCTGACCTTACAGTTAGAAGTCCAGTGCTTATCCTGCAGTGCCACACCAGGACTCCCAGCACCATTCTTGTTGCTGTTGTTGGTGTTAAGTGCTGTCGAGTTAGTTTTGACTCATAGTGACCCTGTATAGGGTTTCTAAGGAGCAGTGGTGGGTTTGAACTGCCGACCTTGTGGTTCCCAGTTTAGTACTGATCCTACAGAACCACCCAAACACCCTGAAATAAGCTGACAGCTCAGATCCATTTTACCACTTGTCTGCATGCAGACACTTGACCAGATGTCCCCTGAAGCCTCCCTATCTCTCCGGCTTTATGACTCTTAGCTCAGAAGCTAGACAACACATGGTTCCCCCCCCACCCCAAGACCGGGGCCACAGCCAGCTGAGCCAGTTAGGCTCCTGGCAGGAAAGGGCTAGGCTCCAGATGCAGACTTACCTGACACAGGTGTGGCCATCCCCAGGCCTCTGGATGACGACAACAGGGCTAACTGTGATGGCTGGGCAGGAGGCAAGCTCACCTTCCCCACAAGAGCAGTCCATATGGGAGGCCTCGTCTGAATCACCCTTCCCAAAGAGCCGGGGGCGGCTCCTGGCTGTGACAACGTGGGGCTTGGCTAGAGGTGACATAGAGTTAGGATCGCCATCCTGAAGGTCTGGGCAGGTGGCTTCTTGAGGCAGGTCCTCAGACTTCTCTGAGTCTGGGCTACCCCATTTCTTCATCCTGCCAGACCCTCTGTGACCCGAGTCAGCCTGTGAACAGACACAAAGATGGGATTTGTTCCCCACTTGCCTTCCTTGCAAAGGCCCCTATGAGGCTGCTATCTCCAGCCCCTCACCCACGACTGTGAGGGGTAGTGAATAAGCTGGAACTGTACCCACCCCAGAGGCCCTGGGGGTGAGCCAATTGATCATCAGCTACTGACAGTCAACCCCAAGAGTAGACAGGCCACCCAGCATGGAGTCAGCAGGCTCAGAGGGACTTGGGTGAACACTTCCTCTTCTCTGGACCTCAGTTGTCTCATCTGCAGAGCAGAGATGATACCAGTGTTCTGCTCTGCCTTCCTCCCAAAGTCAGAATCAAGGAAAATAATGGGAGAAGCTGTTCCTAGATACGCACTCAGGGCTCAGCCCTCCAGAGTCAGAAAAGCAGTCTATGTCCCCAGGAACAGAGGGGAGGGGCCCTGAATGACCGGCAGAGAGTGACCACACTCAACACCCTACTCTGCATGGGCCTGAACACATAGAGAAAGTTGGCAGCCAGTGTCTGCCTAAATAGCAGTAAGCTTATGTTGAGCTTGTTTGCAGCTCCATTCTTCCTGCCTTCTTCTCCCATTCTTCCTCTCTACTGTCTGGCTAGCCCCATTCCTTGCTCCCCAAGGCTGTCCCACATGTCCCATCTCAGGGGCTTTTGCTCCCATAGTGTCTACACCTGGAGTGCTTTTTCCTTCTTCGTTCCTTGCTCCAATCTTACCAGCTATCTTCAAGTCGATTCCAACTCACGGTGACCCCATGTGTGTCAGAGTAGAATGTGCTCCAGAGGGTTTCTTTTCTTTCTTTGTTTTTTTTTTTAATGTTTTATTGTGAATTATGTGATAGTTTACATGGGAGAACATTAATTAGTTTTACATTCATCCTATCATATATCGTTTCATTGCCATGGTTACAATCCCCTCCATGCATCATCACCCAACCTGCAAGCCTGCCCCTGGTTGTCAGCACACAGCCCCTCTCCCTCTCTGCTCCACCTCTCCACGTCATCATCTCTGCCTCCACCTCAGGCATCACTGCTTCTCTGGGTAGAGTCCCACTCTCCGCTCTTCTCCCTTGATGGTCCCAGAGACCTCCGCTCCTAGACTGAAAAGTCAATCATCCCCTCCTTGCTACAAAACGTCTACATAGGGTTTCTTTTTTGGTGAACATATACAAAGTAAATTAGGCTCCTATTTGACAATCTCTGTATAATTTGTTCGGTGATATTAAATACATTTTTCACAATGAGTCAACATTCTCTTGGACTGTATTCTGGTTTGTACCATTTCTGGTACTCTCATTTCCCTGCCCTCTTATCTTCTCATCTTTGCTTTAGAGCTCTATGGGGTTTTCAATGACAATTTTTCAAAAGTAGATCACCAGACTGTTCTTTCTTTTTAAGTGGACTCCACCCACCAACCTTTCAGCTGGCAGTCAAACGTATTAACTGGTTTTACCACCCAGGGACCCCTACCCAAATCCTTTATTGCTGTTGTCATTAACTGCTGTCAAGTTAATTCCAACTCATAGTGACCCCATGTGGGGTTCTCAAGACTGTGACTTTTCGGAAGCTGATTGCCATGCCTGTCTTTTAAGGTGCCTCTGAGTGTGTTCAAACCAGCAGTCTTTCAGCTGAGTACCTAGGGAGCTGCCCAAATCCTACCACTTGCTCAAATGCCACCTACTCTGATGGTCTAACATTGAAGGTGCCTCCTCCATGAAGACCCAGAATTCAGGTACTGACTACGCTCCCTCCCTCCAGAGTGACCCATCATCCCTCATGACCCTCTCAACATAGGCCACCATTGTTGTTGTTGTTAAGTGTGGTTGAGTCAGTTCCAACCCATAGTGACCCTGTATAGGGTTTCCTAGGAGTAGCTGGTGAGCTTGAACCACCAACCTTTTGGTTCAAATCAACTTTGCAGTTCAGTGGATTAACCCACAGCACCACACCCAGACTCCTCAAGACCACCAAATGCTCTAGAAAATACTATCCAGCTCTACTTTACCTCCCTGGTGCCCTGTGATTTCCTACTGGGCAGGGACCTTGCCTGATCCATCTCTTGATAGAAAAAGCTGTGCTTGCTGGTCATTGTGGGGCAAGTGAGAGATACAAGCTGCTCAGATACAGACCTTTATAATTCCCATTGCTGTAAGGAAGTTTAGGAGATTCATGTCCCAGCAGTGACTGGATCCCAGAACCACTAAAGGACTGGGAGGCTTCTCCAACCCTGAATTTTCCGATGAAAATTCAGGCAGTAAATGCCTAGAGCACATGGCTGGACCAGAACAATAAAACAGCTACAGTCTGATGCTCAGATCCATAAAAACAATCAAGAGACAGCCTCACAGTTTCACGTCTTGTAAACAGGGTAATTGACTTCTGGTATAGCTCCTGTCCTGCCTCGCATTCTGCTTCGGGAAGCTTCCTCTGAAGCATACATCAGGTTGAAACCCTGAAACAGGAAGTGCTCCCAGCCACAAAAAGTTCCATTTTCCACTTCTCATCCATTTATTTGTCCTATCACCCAGTACTCACCCATCAACTCAGTCCTACTATACACAGAGGCACAGAGGCAAACCAGACTCCACCTGAGACAGAAACAAGGGGCTTGCTGGTGCCGGGAGACCACAGGAAGGGTCAAAGTGCTAAAGAAGGCTGTATGGAGGAGGAGACAGAATAGATGGAATTTGAAAGGGGGGGTGCAGGGTTGGGCCAGAGTAGTATCAGTGGGTAGGGCTCCCTCGAGAGGCTAAAGAGGAAGCTGTGGGGCCTGGTGGAGTTAGAATCCGATAGTTGTCAGTTTTGAATGCCAAAGAAACAGAATGCGGACATTAAGGCGTGGACTGGGAAGCTTCAGGACTATGAAGATTGTTCGTCTATGTTTTCAGAGGAGAACTGTCTGCCAACGGCTATTCACAGTATGGGAATCTGCTGGCATTTTTAAGGCACAGGCGGCTAATACAAATAAAGATGACTGATACTTTTGAGTATTTGCTATGCACACAGAACTACTCTAAGTATTTGATTTGTATTTACACATTTAATTCTCACAATATCTCTAAAAGATAGATTTTTTTATAGGTGAGGAAATGAGGCACAGAGCAGTAAAGTTGCTTGTCCAAGGCTACACAGTAAAAGGTGGATTTGAGCCTGAGAATTTTGGTACTCTGCCACCTCTCTGAAGTTCTGGTATGGCGCTGTGGGCTAATGCGTCAGACAGCAAAGTTTGAACTGCAAGGTCGGTGGTTCAAGCTCACCAGCTGCTCCTTGGAAACCCTATACAGGGTTGCTATGGGTCAGAATCAACTCAACGGCACTGACAACAACAAACCACCTCTCTGGAAGACTCAGAGCTCTTTCCCTGCCATTGAACTCAGCCACAAGCCTTGCATCAGGAGCTGGGAGCTGCTCAGACCAGGCACTCCCACCTCTGGGGCCTCTGTCCTCCCAACCAGGAGCATGATGTCTTTTTCTAGGGATTGGTCTCTTCTGATAACATGTCCGAAGTACAGGAGACAAAGTCATTTCTAAGGAACATTCTGACTGTACTAAAAAAGCATCCCCTAGAGCTCAAAGTGTGGCACTGTGGTCTAATGTGTCAGACTGCAAAGTCACTTGAACTGCAAGGTTCAAGCTCACCAGCTGCTCCTTGGAAACCCTATACAGGGTAGCTATGGTTCAGAATCGACTCAACAGCACTTAACAGCAACAACAAAGCTGAAAACCCAAAAATGAAATGCAAGTAAGACTCAGGCTACATCCCATGCCTAGCATTCCTCTAGCCTATCTGTGGTCTCTAAGAATAAACTGACTCCCATACCAACAGCTCTTCACAAGCCCAGCAAAAGAGCACCCATCAGCAGGAGTCTCCATGAATCTTTCAGCTTTATTCTTTTTTTAGGGACTTCACCTCGTCCTTTGACTGATGGAGATCTAACCGGACCCAGGAAGTGCAAAGCAGCACACAAGGTACTGCCATTCATTCCGTCGGCAAACACCGACTTCTCTGCACACCCTGCCCCTGACTCCCTGCAGGACACTAGGTTTTTCCCTAGGGCAGAAGGCAAGACAGGGCCTTAGAGACCATTTGCTCTAGCCTTCCGTATGGATTGCACCTCAACATAAAGAAAACAAAAATACTCACAACTGGACCAAATAATAATAATAAGCAGAGAAAAGATTGAAATTGTCCAGGATTTCATTCTACTTGGATCCACAATCAATGTCGATGAAAGTAGCAGTCAAAAAAATCAAACAACTCATTGCACTGGGCAAATCTGCTGCAAAAGATCTTTTTAAAGTGTTTAAAGATCATGATGTTGCTTTGAGGACTAAGGTGCACCTGACCAAGCCTCATATGCCTGTGAAAGCTGAACAATGGATAAGGAAGCCCAAAGAAGAATTGATGCCTTTGAATCATGGTGTTGACAAAGAATATTGAAAGTACAGTGGTCTGACAGAAGACCAAACACATCTGTCTCGGAAGAAGTACAGTCAGAATGTTCCTTAGAAATGACTTTGTCTCATGAACTTTGGACATGTTATCAGAAGAGACCAATCCCTAGAAAAAGACATGCTGCTTGGTAAAGTGGAGGGTCGGCAAAAAAGAGGAAGACCATTAACGTGATGGGTTAACACGTGTCTGCAACAGTGGGCTCAACCAGAGCAACAGTTGTGAGGATGGTACAGGACTGGAAGCATTTCATTCTGTTTATGTAGAGTTGCTATGAGTTGGAATTGGCTCAATGGCACCTAACAACAACAAGGAGGGTGAACAGGAAGGGACTGGTATAATAGTCACGGTCAGGCCTGGCTTGTGCCCTGGCATGTGATTCCCTCACAGCAGTATGTTCCATGGTGACTTCAGCAGACACATGTTGATTGTCTAAAGGTTCTGGTTTACACAGATTCACAAACACTTAAGTCTGGACTAAAAGGAATCCTGCCGCAAATACCCTGCCCAACAAAGGCCTGATTTCATCTCTG